CCATGCCGGTGTGTGCTGGCCCCGCACGGTGCTCACGGGACCGTGACAGAGAGGTTATAAATAAGCCCCCTCCCCCGAGAATTTCCACTTCCTTCTCTGACTTTCGGTGTGTCGGGGGCCACGCTGGGTGCCAGCAGCAGCAGGCAGCTGGGTTGGGGGCTGAGCGGGCAGCTGGCAGACAGTATCCCTCCAGCATCAGGCAGGGGACCATAAGTGGCAGGACAGAGCTCAGAAGCAGGTTTCCATGTAAGCAGCCCCCTTAAAAAGAACTGCCCAATTCCTCTGGGCTCGCAGAGGCTCCTCTGCCTGTCCCATGCAGCACGGGCAGCAGCAGGGTGTCCCCAAACGGCTCACTGACACCTGGCACTGGGGCAGTGGTGCTGTGTTTTGCGCCAGGTCCCTCTGGGGCCCTTCCCCAATGCCAGCCCCCAGCACCCTGCAGCCGGGCAGAGCAGACTGGCAAGGGGAATGCAGTAAGGACTCACCTGGAAGGGGTAGGGGAACCGTTCGATGATTGAGATCTGCTCCATGTTGTTGTAATCCTCTCCTTTCCTCTGGAAGAGAGAGGCAGAGACAGACGCTGGCACACTGCTGCTCAGCAGCTGGCATCTACCCTAGGACCCACAGCTTTTGGTGTCCCCCTGCCCTACATCAAGCTGGGCCCCTGGTATGGTACGGGCCACGGGTGCAGAGGCCCCCTTGCCAAGCAGGGCTGTCCCCCATTCCCACCACCCCAGACCACGGTAACTCTCCCTAATTCCGCGGTGAGGGGACAGGAGGCACAAGTGGTGACCCCAGGACCTTCCTCACCGGGACCTGCCGCTCAGGAGGAGGGTTGTCTTCAGGCACAACTGTCTCCACACAGGTGATCTTCTCAATGTCCACTGAGCCCTTCTTACTGCCCCGGCGCTGCAAGGGACGGCATTGGTTGGAACAATCGCAAAGGGGGAGACCCAGGGAGACTCAAGCCAACCACCGTCCGCATCCAACCACCCCTTTCTTGGGCTGGGTGCTGGCAAAGGACAACTGGCGACCCGTGGGCACTGCCATGGCACAGCCCCTGTGGCCGTGGGGCCAACAACTCACCCCCCGCTCAAAGTCATACTCGTAGTAGGACAGCTTGCTCTCTGTCAACAGGAACAGGCGCTTCTTGAAGTTGAGGGGAGATGTTTTCTTCTTCTGCTGTGAGCGCTTCAAGAAGATGCTCTCCAGGATGACGCTGGCCATGTCAGCCCCCCCAGCCTCCTCTGTGCCGTGCTCACCGGGTTGCTGTGGGCAGGACAACCCCGACACAGTGGTTGCTCAGCCAAAAACCTGCCGGTCACTGGACCTCCCTCAGGTGCACTCTCCACGCTGCCGGAGGGGCAGCCAGGGGGTGCTGGGGCCCCCCAAGGGGGCAATCAGCTGCAGAGGTGTGCAGGCAGGTCAGCGTGTGGTATTTGCAATGTGACCTCTCCCTCTCCCGTCCCCTCTCTGACACCAGGCTAAGGATTTAGCCACCACCAGCCAGCTTCGTCTCCCGCCGGACGCTGGAGAGGGCCCCCGGGTGTGCAGATGGACAGACACAGACCACTGGAGAGGGAGGGAGCCGGGGAGGCTGCGAGAAGCGTCACCCCGGGGAGGAGCGCAGAGCCTGAGCAGCAACACCCAGAAGTTTCCTCCTCCCCACCGCAGGCGCTTCAGGCCAGGCCGTGCTGACTCGGCAGTGTGCAAGGGACGGCCGCGGGACGCCGGTCCCTAAACAGTCGTGGGTGTCCTGGCCCCGAAGAGCCGCAGTGCCGTGCTGCCAAGAGCACGGAGTAGCCCTGAAGTCATCCTTCCCCTCCGCATCCAAGGAGCCTGCAGGAGTGCAGGGACGATGCTCCGCCCCCGTTCCTCCCCTGCGAGCAGTGCTCACTTGCTGCAGGTTAGGCTGGAAGGGCTGCCTCCAGCCAGCAACCAGAGGGGTTAAATCCTCCCCCAGCCCTCTGCAGCAAAGCTCTCCCAGAGTCTCTCCAGGGACAGTCAGGGCAGGGAAAGGCTCAGATGGGAGCCCCACATCCCACTGCTGCCCTGCTCTCAGGGGGCTGGAAATCCACCCTGGCCCACCTCTTGGAGCAGCCCGTCCACCTCGCCCCACACCGCTCCATGCCACACCCGGGCACTGCAACACCCAGACGGTTCCAGCACCCTGCCGAGCTGCGTGGCTGGAGCTGTGGGCTTCTCCTCCTCTGGGGGATGTAACAACACCTCACTCCAGCCTGGACCTAACGGGGACCTGATGAGCTACTTGGAGCCACTGCTGAACTGTGATCCCCTGGAGACTCCCTCCACGTCTTCTGCCCCGACTACCTATGTGCCCTGCTTCCCCTTCACTTCCACCTTGTTCCCTTTCGTCTCCTACAAACACAGCTTTGGAGGACAACCTGGGAGAAGCTGTTTCCCTCCTCTGCTGCCCGCAGCCCGTCTCCTCCAAGGGAGGCTCAGAGGTGGGCAAGAGTCAGGGGTTGAGCCCCCCGCTACCCGGCCAGGCAGCCCATCCGCTCCCCCCATGCAGGAGGCAGGCATCGGCTTGCTCACGACAGGGACCAGGAGGGGACCAAAGATGGCAGGAGCTGGTCCCACCGGCTGTGCCTCTCTCCAGGGCATGCCCCAGCCTGGGGACAGGAGCAGGGGCGTCCCTCCATCCATCCATTGGCAATGCCCAGACCCTCCCAGCACAGACCCTGCTGCTGCAATCCTGACCCTGCCCTGCTGCGGTGGCTACAGCCAGAGGGGCTGGGGACAAGCAGGGTCCCCCTCCCAGGGCCCTCCCTTCCCTCCCCTTGTGGCCCTCAGGGCTCAGGCCCTTCCGGCTTGTTTTCACGGTTTCAAAAAAAAACC